AGTTCATATGGCCAGTAATGCTGAACTTAGTCTCAGGTGTTTTTAGTAAGAGTTTGGAACTGTAGGGGATGGTTCACCCAAAAATGAAAATTCGATCATAATTTGTTCATTCTCAAATCATTCCAACCTCAGTATGACTTTCTTCTGTAAGAGATGGTTTGAGATGGTGGCCATAACTCATATGGCATAATTTGGTCTTAGAATAGTTTAATGAGAAACGTTTTAGTCCATAATATTAATTGCAGACTTTGACTGCAGCTATATTTGCAGATTTCAGCAGAGCTTGAGACATTGTTGAGATATGTTCTGAAACACTGGAGAAACATGCTTTCCTGGGGAATTTTGCTCATGGAAAATGTCTGAGAGATAGCAGGAGACTGTTTGCTTTCCATATCATTACTGTCCACAATTATGAAATTAATTAAGAAAGAAAGAATCCAAAAGACCACTAATAAAATGCTTCTATTTTTTATACAAATATGACAACTCTCTGAGTGTTTGGCATGGTGATGGATATGACAATGTTGATATGTTTGGTCTTGGTGGAATTTGCTACTGCCAATAGTTAAGTCAAGTCATCTTCATTTATATAGTGCCTTTCACAATAAAGATTGTTTCAAAGCAGCTTTACATTGATAACAGGAAATAATGCAACAAAGTTTATTTCTACTGTACTTTATCTAGAAGAAAATAGGTTCATGGTCCATTTTAAGTAAGTTTAGTGATGGTTCAATACATACACATGCTGTTTGAGCCAGTAAGACATGCTGATGTACAATATAGTACATGAAGTACCCATATACCCATTTAGCTGTGGAGAATGATGTGATTGCAAGCAAATTGAGTTGAGGAACGATCAGCCTGTACCCTCTAGAGTTTCATGACAGAACTTTGTATTTACTTTTCCAATTAAATTGTCAGAAGGACAAATTGAGTGAAAAACAATTTCACAATTTTTCCCTCTTTTGTGCCGTTCTAAAGAACACCGGAAGCATGAACATCTGACCATTTGTACAGAGACTTGGTCGGTGTCACAAATTTGATTACAGACCTAAATAGTGCAGAATTTCTGTCTCGCACACCATCATATTTTATTGTTTATTTATTTCTTTTTTCCAGATTTTAGATTGCGAATCCCAGATTTTCACTGTAGTCTTACTGTGTTAACAGTATAAAATTGTGTATTTACAATTAATTAGAATATGAGAACTCATTGGTAATGGTTGTTTCCTTGGGGCAGTTCTAAAGTTTATAAATCTCTAAAGGAAGGGGTAATCCCCCATCCCATAAACCAGCCCGGACAGATGATGATCCCATCGTTACGGTAACACATGAAAGGCCCTGAGATTCTACACTCATTTTCTGAAGGGACTTGACCCTGCAGGCTTAAGCGGACACACACACTTAGCATCATAAAGTACACTTTTGCACACACACGTCCACACATTTCGAGTCCTGAGGGCAAACAGACCTGTGTTTGGTGATCAAAGCCACCTATTATATCTGGCATGGTACTTCACCCCAGCATTCTCTGTGGCTGTGCTTTTCTCTAACCATTGAGGGAAGGAGGGGAGTGATTAGAGGTTAAACAGATAAATTAATTTAAATATTAGTTTACTAGTGCATATGCAATAGTTTTGTGTCAGTTAGTCAGTTGCTTAGACACGAGTCATTTAAGGTACTTGCATGGTAATTTGGAGTCCTTTTTGAAACTTGAAAACTGTAGTCCCCATTCAGCCAGTCTAATTTTGTATTCTGCAATCAGAATTTAAGTTAATTACTCATAATCTTCCCCTCCAGTGAGCTTCTAACAGTTGCCAACACTCCTTTGAGTTGAGTTTAACTCAAGAACCAGAAAAGTCAAATTCATGAAAAAAATATTAAAAATAAGAACATTTTGATCACATTTTTGGAGATTGTTTCTTGGCACGTTCATGAGAAGGAGTGTTGTTAGCGATGAACAATTACATTTTGAATTAAATTAAAGTTGTATCAGCCACTTTTATGGTGCTTTTTTGTCATTTTGTAGCTTGGCTGGCCCCAGTTCTCATTCACTTTCATTAAAAAGAGTTTCCAAAGCTATTCTTCAAAATGTCACCTTTTGAGTTCCACAGAAGATCAAATGTTCCGTGGGTTTGGAACAATATGATGGTGACTAAATGATGACCGAATTTTCAGTTTTGGGTGCACTGTTCCTTTAAGTGCTCCCCATGTGACCCTAGAGGCAGACTGGATCAGATAAAGCCATATAGAAACCTGGCACAGTGTATGAGTGTGTTTATGTGTGTCTGCCAACGGGAAAGATTCCTCTTATAATCTAATCTCCTCCATTGAACCTCAATTGCCCTCAAGTCTTCAACTCCAAACAGGTGTCTTTCCTAAAGAGGAGAATACATTATTCAAAAAAAAAAAAAAAAAAACCTATGCAAAAAAAAAACCATTATACTTGACTGAGTCATAATGAAAATCCCATCAGGCTGGAGGGGTTTGTCGAACTTGATGGTCGAAATACACACACCGCTCCAAATCCAGACTGGTTTGTTAGCAGGCCAGATCTCATTCTCCTCAACAGAAAAGGGGAAGAAAAAAAAAGTAGGGAAAAATGGGAGATGTTTAACTGACTCCAACGTGAGGTTAAGTTTCCCCCGGACACAAAAAAGAAAGCACATGAAAAGACGCTTCACTCAATACACTTTCCTGTTGTAAAGAGAAAAGAAGAGAAGCTGGAAAGTGTTTTTGATGGGGGAAGAAAAGACCGTGGCACGCCCTTTTGATTCCACCGCACAATGGCTGAAATCAGATAGCTGTCGCCTCAGGGTCGAGCTCGAGATGTTGAATTGTGGCTCCTTAAAGACAAGAAGAATAGCCTTTCTCGCAATTATCGTTATTTCTGACGGCGCGGGCACCCGTAGCGCACGTGAAGGGGCATTCGGCCGGGTTGTTTTATGATGAATGTTCTGGTTCAAAAAGAAATCAACCAATCACTGTCTCGTCTAGCTGTGCGGCTGTAATCAATACTCGGTTTTGAAGGCTTTTTGGGGTTTGGGCATCAAGGTTTAAAGTACGCACCGGAGAGCTTAAAGGGGTTTTGAAGCAGACAAAGCCGGAGAACTCCGCAGGTCACTGTCTGGAAATGAACAAAGCCCTTCCCTGGGCCCTCGCGTAGACGCAGACCTGAAGGTGGACATGCTTGGATGGACAGGGCAGGGGGAGAGAAAGAGGCTCAATAAAGCACATAGGTTCCCGCTGTAGGGGGTGTTTCTGTCTGACTGACAACCCATGAAAAGGCTTTTCTCTTCGGTGACAGCTACGCTTGAGCTAAATTACATGCAGTAACTAACTAAAGGCAGTGATGCGACTAAATTAACATTTTTCAATATGGCGTGACAATTTCTCAGCTGTTTTCAAGGTACACTACCAGTATCATTTGGAGTCAGTAGCAAGCAACCATGCATGTCATTGATCAAAATTGACAGTAAAGACTTTTGCATTTTCCTAAACAAAAATCTATTTCAAATAAATGCTGTTCTTTTGAACTTTCTATTCACCAAAGGACTTTTAATGTTAAGCTAATATTAAGCAGTTTTCAACATTGATAAGAATTGTTTCCTGAGCACAAATTGCTGCTGGAAATTTTTAAATTGTAGGAATATTTCACAATATTACTATTTTTACTTAAATTGTTCGTCAGATTAATGCAGCCTTGGTGAACATAAGAAATAAGACTTGAACGTTAGTGTAGTTCACTTTTTTATGTCAAATTATATTGCATATTTATATTATATTTTAAAAATGTTGAACTTTTTCTCTTTCTCAGATTTGATAGTCTGAATCATTCAGACTGTTTATTTTAATTATCAGGTTTATTAAAAATTCATTGATTCATTTGAATCATCATTGAATTGTGTTCTTGAAACTTCCTGACTTTTTTGAAAGTTATAGACCATTTTGCAAGATGTAAACAAAACTGGTCCAGAAGCACTTCCTGTTTCAGTTTTTTAACTCTACATAAAAGCTGGGATAAAATACAACCAACAGAACATATAAAACTTAATCAAAAAGTTAAACAAACATCTTTAAGATGTTTTCTTTACATGTGAAATAAAGAAAACAGTTACAAACTGAAACAGGAAGTGTTTCCCCAGATAGCAAACTGACATTGAATCAACGTGGAAACGACGTCTCTCATGACATTGAAACAACGTTGATTTTGCTCATCGAATTAACGTTGAACCAACGTCAGACGCGGCATTCTTCAAAGCTAAATGAAAATCGAAAATTGGTTTGCTTTCATAACGTTGAAACAACGCGTTGATTTCAAGTTGATTTTCCGTTAGTTTTGAAAGAATGACGCGTCTGACGTTGGTTCAACGTTAATTCGATGAGCAAAACAATGTCAGATCAACGTTGTTTCGATGTCATATTTCCACGTTGATTCAATGTCAGTTTGCTATCTGGGTCTGGACCAGTGTTGTTTACATCTTGCAAAATGGTCTATATTAAACTGTCTGAAAACAAAACAGTGTTCACTAACTTTCTAAATATGTTCATCATGGTCCATTTCTTTATAATCGCATCCTAGTAATATATCAACATTCTAACTACTCTAAAGTTGTTGTTTGTTTGTTTGTCATTTCATACTCATATTCATATTTCCAGTCCAGTCCTCTTTAGAAAATTAAATAAATATTTATTTCCTTGTTCACTCTTCCTATATTCTGAACTTGTTGGTTTGCCATGCTGCCTCTTTTATCCTGGCAACTTCCTGTTTCATGTCAGGTGATCGCTCACATGACAGGAAGCCTCATAATCATTTAAAGACATACACACATAAAATAGATAAGAGGAATAAAATGGACTAAAATGACTAAGACAACATGTAAACCAATTAAAACTCTAATATACATAAAATCATGAAAAAGTCATGAAACTTGATTGTTGTTGAAGTGAACTAATTTGGTTCAATTTTGCAGTTGTAAACTAGTCTCTTTCTCGCACAGGAACCCAGATGGAGATGTCCGGCCATGGTGTTACATCGCAGATCTTGAAGACGGAATCTACTGGAAATACTGTGATATTCCGACCTGCCAAAGTAAGTGTTTAAAGTGGGGAAAATAACATCGAATCAACAATGAGCACAAGTTAAAGCAGGAACCTGCCCAAAAACTTTTAGGTTCCCATCATCTGGATTATAAAACTGATGTGCAAAACCGCATTTTTGGAAAGGACTCTTAATTGCTCCATCAGAAATCACACTGTCCCAGCATGCACAGATATGTTTGCAGTGCTTGTCATCACTTGATTTTTTTTGCATTTTCCATCCAGAGGGTGTACTGTGTGTTGAAAGTATGTGTTTACCTCAAATTTATAGGGTTCAGATTATCAATGTATTTGTTTGCAGTATTATTTCATATAATCAGTGCAGACTTCTCTTTCTTTCTTGGTGTTAGTGAATAGTGTAAGTCTTTCTGTGCATGTCTCGAGGGCGTGTGTGCATGTGCATACAAATGCAAACCCATTTTTCTGTCTGTCAGATTTGTATAATCCCACTATGTGTTTTCTATTGTACTGGCAGAGAAAGAGAATGCGTGTGTGTGTGTGTGTGTGTGTGTGTGTGTGTAATCTGATATCCCCAGCTCCTCAGTTTCTTCTCACTAATCACACCCAATAAACAAGAGCTGGCACACAGTATCACAGGATGGGTAGAGCATGAATACAAAACTTAACAGCTGTGACATACACCAGGAAACAATCTCAGTAGTTAGAGATCAGTCTGAAGTTCACTTACATGTGTGATTCTACAGCCATATCAATCATGACAAGTAAATGTGTAAATGAAGACAGTCAAATTAGCATGTTAATTTAGCTCAATTAATTAGAAAAAAAATGTATGGATGACACTGGAGCAATTCAAGCTTAATGTACCATGTTTTAGCAAATCTGCAGTTCCAAAGTTATATTCTGTTTAAGTTGATGCAAACTAAAGTGGATCCTCCAGGTACGCGTGCATATGGGGGAACGTATATTCTGTTCAATTCATGTTTCTTATTGTGTTATGGTCCTATAGAAATTAAATGTTTCTTGATTACAAATTCAGCTTATCATAATGACTTCTGCAGAAGATTAAAGAAATTGCAGAAGATTAAAGAAAAAGATCACCATTCTGGATAATGTTATTATTGACTGTATACACAGGTACAAAAGCTATCACTGGGTCTGTACCTTTTCAAAAGGTACACTTTTGTACCCAAAGGCTGCATATTGGTACCTTAGTGGTACATATTACCACCTAAAATACACATATTAGCACCTAAAATGGACATATTAGGACCTAAAATGTACATATTAGCTCCTGAAATGGACATATTAGGACCTAAAATGTACATATTACGACCTAAAATAGACATATTAGCACCTAAAATGGACATATTAGCACCTAAAATGTACATATTGGGACCGAAAATAGACATATTAGCACCTAAAATGTACATATTAGCACCTAAAATGTACTTGTTATGACCTAAAATAGACATATTAGCACCTAAAATGGACATGTTAGGACCTAAAATGGACATGTTAGGACCTAAAATGTACATATTAGCTCCTGAAATGGACATATTAGGACCTAAAATGTACATATTAGCACCTACAATGGACATGTTAGCTCCTGAAATGGACATATTAGCACCTAAAATGTACATACAGTATTAGGACCTAAAATGTACATATTAGCTCCTGAAATGGACATATTAGCACCTAAAATGTACATATTAACACTTAAAATGTACATTATAGTATCTAAAATATACATATTATCACCTAAAATGTACAAATTAACACCTACTGTAAAATGTACATATTAACACCTAAAATGTACTTATTAGAACCTAAAATGTACATATTAGCACCTGAAATGGACAAAAGTTTACCTTTTGAAAAGGTACAGCCCCAGTGACAGCTTTTGTGCCTTTTTTCTGATATATACTGTGTATATGTATATATGAGAGAGAGAGAGAGAATCTTTAATTAAAATCTAGTTAGGATTGTTGTTTATGGCAATCCCATCAATTTGATCTTTTTTCCCCAATCACATCCACTCCTGTTCTATAGTGGTTTGTTAAGGCCTGCTTCCCATCTCTGGCTGGTGGTGCGTGACTATAAGTTTCCTCCATCTCCGTATTCACTGTCCAGTACAACTGCACTCACTGACCCATTTCCCAAAAGAGCCATACACCCATTAATCTGTCTGGACGCCCAGTATCTCTGTGCCCGAGTGGCGCTAACAAAGCCCACCCAACTAATGCCCCTCTGGGCTGAGGCTGTCTTGGACGGCAGGCAAATTTAGGACAGCTTTTGTCATAGCCAGTTGTCTTCTCTGTTAGGCTCACTGCTTTGAGTCTGGTTTACCGTAAATGTGTTTGTGTGTACCGGCTTGTAACCCATCTGTTGTTTTTTTTCATGTCCCAGATTCCCTTCAGCTCTCAGGGCATCGCCCATATCAAGTACAATCATTCGCATGCTTCTGTTTCGGCTTGGATATCATTAGATAGGTCTTGGGTCTTGGGTGGTGCCCTAAAGCCCCGATGCCCACAATGTTTGCCAATGAATGGAAAGGTGATTTGTTGGACTTTTTAGCTCCAGGCAGTTGTTATGCTGTAAAATCAGAAAGCAGTCGGAGCAATTGTAGCATCACAATCGACACGCGTACATGCACCTGAGGCTGTTTCCCTATTTGTAATGTGGGATGAAAGAACAGAATTTGCCCCAATCTCCATTAGGCACGCTGTCATGTGCAAAATGACACTTATCTTTGCAGCACGTAGAGAGAGGTCGATTTTCGCCTTTGTTTGTTCTGTTTTGGTGGCGTTTTTTGTTCTCTGAATAACAATAACCTGTTTTAGATATCATGTTAACCTTCTGCAGACTTTTTGTCATTTTACCAACCCGCACACACACATAATTAAGTATTAGTTTATAATATCTAGAAAAGATAATATGTAGAAAAGCCTTTCTGTATGTAACGGACGGACTTGATGTTTATTTATATACTGTCAGAATCAGCGCTGATCTGAATCACTCAGTGTGCAGATAAACTTGGGATGGTTACTATGTTTACTTTCACTTTTATAGTATGTGAATATTCAGCATGTAGGTTTAGTGCCAAATAATTGGGATGGTTAACAGTCAAATGTGAGTCATAAGAGAACCAGCTGCATTCCTCACAGTTACTGTAGGTTATTTTCTTAAAGCGAACAACAACATTATCTGTTAAAGGTGCATTTTTTTGTCACAGGTGTGTATGTGTGTGTGTGTGTGTGTGTGTGATGGTTGGCTCAGGGTGATGTTTGGATTTGCTCTTTAACTTCCTGCAATAACAGATGAGAAGATTGGTCTCAGTGCCACATTTACACTGACAGATCTAATAGTAATTTAAGGAATTGAATCATTCTGGGTTTGATTCCTTTTTTAATTCTGATTACATTAATAATTTTTTTTTTGTACTTTTAAAGTCTTTTTTGATATATTTATTAATTTGGTCATTTTTATACAATGCTACTTCCAAAACATTTATCTTTAATTAGCTGTCATATGCACAACCATTCAGTAACTGCTCTGATTCATATCTCACAAGCCTTACAATAAACAACACAATAGCTTTATATGTTTGATTCTGAAGGGAACTGACTCATAAGATTCATTTTTTTATTACCCAAAAAAGAGCTGACTCACAATAATCATTTGTAGGGGAATTGGATTTCAGTGTTTGGACTATGTTTTTGATTCACTAAAAAGTAATGACTCTTAAGAATCAATCATTCGGGAATCAGACTGGTTGCACTGTATTAGATATGCATGATTTTGGATAAATCGAGAATTTTTTTCTCTAAAATAGAGATCATGATTCTCCCACGATTCTGACTAGATTGTGACAAAAACATGACAAAATGTTAATTGTTGCAGTCTATAAAAATATTTTATTTGAATGAATTCTTTTTTTTTTAAGTTTGAATGAATGATTCAATGACTCGTTTCATTACTGGATGAATCAGCGTTTTTGAACAAATCTCTTGAATGAATCCATTTTTTAACTGGCATTTGTTGCCACCTACTGGTGCAATGATGTAATTGATATGACCTTTATTTAAATCGTCAAGTTATTTTGATCACTTCTGTAGACATCAGTGTTAATATCCAAACTATGAATTTTTATTTCAATACTTATGTGATAATTTGCATTATTGTAAATAATGATAATGTGTGGTTGAAGAGACCGTTTGTGAAGTTGTTTCCATGACAACTGCTCTCTCTGGGTTACCAGCAGCTCTAACGAAAATCTGAATGTTCGCTGTGAGCCTACTTGTCAATGATTGGACATTTAAAGCGAAAACGCGACTTTTAAAGGAGTAGTTCACGTTTAAAAAAACTTTTGCTGATAATTTACTCACCCCCATGTCATCCAAGATGTCCATGTCCAAGAAATTTTTTGATGAACACATTTCAGGATTTTTCTCCATATAATGGACTTTACTGGCCACCAAACGGTTCAAATGAGAGTTTCATTGCAGCTTCAAAGGGCTTTGACACCAGACGATGAATAAGGATCTTATCTAGTTAAACGATCATTTAAAAAAAAAATAACAAAGTTTAAGTTTTATAAGCACAAATGCTCGCCTTGCTCTGTTCTGTGATGCACGTTCATGACTCTCCTGTTCGAACTCGTTCCTCAAAATAAACAAATCTTTATTCGAGTCATTTCGTTCCAAATGGCTCGAAAAAAGATTCGTTTAAATTCGTTCATCAAAATGAATGAATCTTTTTTCGAGTCATTTCGTTCCAAATGATTCGAAGTTTTACATACATTCCGAATCATAAACATCTTAAAGACATATTCTAAACGTCTATTTGACATCTGACAGGAAACGTCCTATAGACGTCTTCATTAACGAAACAAAGTACAAACTCCAAATTGCTGTTCTTTTTCCGCGTTCAGCAGATGTTAAGGTACCCTCTTGTGTTTTAGGAGAAGAAAAGCAGGTGATATGTTCTTCTGTCTCTCTAAATTCTTAGGGTCGCCCGTACCTCATGACCCAGGGCAGGTCCAGCGAGGTTTGAGAGATGAGATCCATACAGCTCTTTTCACTGCTCATTCCTGTTGTTTAATTTTTCCAGCCTCCGAAAACCCTTTAATTATTCTATTTCTATTGAGAACGCCTCCTTCAATCTTTAATTAAGCATGCAGTCACTCCCTGAAGGGCATGGCGGTGAAAAGCATTGATCTCTGCCTCAATTGTGTCGTAACACGGCCTCCGGCACGACTAATGCAATGTGGTCGCCGGCTTGCAGTTATGCAGCTTGCAGCCTGTTAAAGGGTCGATGGTATTGTTTGTGTTCCTTGCATGTTGTACTCCAACCGAAGATTTATACTCAAGATGTTTGGAACGACCCCGTTGACTTGTCCCTTTGATTTTCACTTTTTCTCTCTCCCAGTGTAAATCTCAGCTGCTAAATGTATGATAGATACAAGGGTCATGGGTAAAGTGCGGCATAACGCAAACAGAAACTCAGTCAGAAACGCCTGCCTTATAAACAAAGCTACACTGTCAAATTCCCCCGAGCAGAAAATGAAAGCATATTAATAGTCTGTTTTTTGTGGAATGATCCACAACATCAACAAATTAATTTCACTCCGAAGCAGATCCAGCTGTTATAACTGTACAAAAAAAAAAAAAGTTAAACCAAAACAGATGTATTCTGGCTTGGACAAGTGTGTCTGTAACAGGAGGGAGCCTGCCTAAACAGGAACACAACTTTAGTATCTGAATTATTGACAGACACGCATTACTAAAAACAGAATAGAGGATGAGGACTTTTGAATGATTCACCAACAAATCACCAAACCCCAGATGCTTAATATAGTCATTTTATAGCTGTTTTACACCAAAGTGTGAAGTGCAGCACTAAAACTAGATAATTGCTGGAGGTTAAAAACCCTCCTCTACCCAAACTGCACTGTGTGTCCAGATGTGAAGTGACAATTTCAAAATAGAAATGTTAAATAAATGCTTAATTTGCAAGATATTTATATGTAAATTCATTTCAAGTTATTTGAATATTTTAATAATTTTATCTCTTGATATGATCAATATCATTAATCATAGTTTCTGCATCTTCTTCACTTGTGTTTTGATCAGGAGATTCAGCAGATGTGTAATAGCGCCCCCTACTAGCCTGGCTAACGCCAGACCACGTATCATTGAGAATGAGACGTGGTCTGGAAACCACATGTTCATTTTCTCGTATTTGAGGCGTGGTTTATTATTGGGTGCTACAAATGTCTATCAAATGCGCCTGTACTGTACGTAGCTCATAGCCAATCGGTTCAGTGATACCAGAGAATGTACACTCTTAGAATAAATGGTTCTATTTAGAACCAGAAATGGTTCCATCCCCCGCTTCATATATGGAACTCCAAAATTGTTCTATATAGAACCATTTTTTGGTAAAAGGTTCTTTTGGCCAAGTATGGAACCCCAGGGTTCTATATAGAACCCAGAGGAACCCTTTTTTTAAGAGTATATAGAACCTTTTAGGGGTTCCAAATACGTAGCGCTGATAGAACCTTTTAAGATTCTATATAGAACCTTTTCTTCTAAGAGTGTATAGGGCGACAGAAATTTAGACGATGAAGACGACGATAGGTCAGAGATTTAGGAGATTTATTTATACACAAAACGTGTTTCTCGAAGTCAAGGATACTTCCTTGGCAGGACGGGTCCTTCCAAGTAATTTCCTTCAGAGGCTAGACGAGGCTCATCTTTAGCATTCGGAGAGGCTAGCAAGTGCTATTTGAAAGCAAGTGCGATTTACAAACGGTTTGGTTTCTTACAAACGTTATTAAAGTGGCTATAATTCTGGATGATTATTTATTTATACACTTATTATTCATATGTATGCAGTGTCATAACTACAACTCTGACGTTTATAACAAACCAAACCGTTTGAAAATCGGTAGAAAATTGAGCAAGTCGGTTATTTAAATAGTACATGCACCATTAAAACACAATGTTACGAGTAAGCGAGCTGCCTGTGACAAGATGGCCGCCAGGTGCAGACGTCGCCCTCCATTGGCCAGCAGCATGGACAATACATTAAACAATACTATACATTAAAGCACCAAGCAATAGGAACGCCTACTCCCACCAACTGAATGACCTCCAGTAATAAAATTGCTGTCAGTGTGAGCGGCCCTTGAGAGCATTAGGTGTTGACAAGACCGTAGATGTGTTAATGAATTTGTGTTGCAACAGCTAGAGGAATAGTCTACGTCTGTGGAATAAACCTGTTGATGTGGTGGGAGGGAGGGACAATGTGTGGGTTTGTGTATGTGGACTTCATTTCTTGTGACAGTACATTTTTGTAACATTATAAATGTCTTTACTGTCACTTTTGGTCAGTGTAGAGAGTCATAATGATACTCATTGTTACTACATGAAAAAGAGCCAGCTGCGTAGGCTATTATTAAAAGTTCTGTGGAAGACCCAGAGTCACACAGGCAAAGGTGAATAAATTATGACAGAATCAAATGTTTTGGCTGAACTATCCCTTTAAACATTGAGAAAGACAGACTGTCTTATTAGAAATAACAAAACGTCTTTTTATTATTTCACCCCCCCTCTCCTCAAGTGTATCTCAGCTTTTGACTAAAAGTGTTCCTGGCAGAGTCTGCAGGGTGTGGCACAGAAACTTATGAATGTATTTTGGAAAAAAGAAACACCCACAATCCTCTGCAAAAAGAAAGAGGAAAAAACGCGCCGCAGATGTCATCTGAATTTATGTCTGTAATTACCTTATTTTAATAACACACAGAGACAGAATGAAAGAGGGAAAGAGAGAGGCCCTCTCAGACACGCTTATCCGCTGTTTCTGCCAAATGCATTTGCCAAGATCTGCAGCGTTTGATGTTGTTGTGTTTGTTATCTGGGTGTTTCTTTCCTTCTTCCTTTTGTCAGTTTTTCTCCCTCTCTCTTGAATGCTATTATGTCTCTCTCTTCGCTTCAGCGGACTTGTGACACGTCTTTCGCTCTTGCATCACCCCCATCAAGCCCTGCAATAATGAAAATATGAATTGTGAAAAGCACGGATGACTCAACACAGCTGAGATATGATGTGCAATAAAAAGCCAGAGACCATCGTTTCTGCTCTGAACAATATCGGCGGTTCTAGTGAGCTTAAGAGAATATCAGTGGTATTTACCGTCGCACAAGAGGAGAGTGGAACTGTCACTCTTCAGAAGAGGGTTATTGGAGATAATTCATGAGTGCTGGTGGCCTTGTGATTAAGGATCAGGGTTGAAATTGGAAAAGTTATCGTACACTCTGCTGGGTTGTTTCAACCCAAATTTGGGTCAAATATGGACAAACCCAAATATTGGGTTAAAAATTTTAACCCAACTTCAACTTTCACTTTCCACTGTAAATTTTTTAATTACATTTTTAACCCAACATTTGGGTTTGCCCATATTTGACCCAAATTTGGGTTGAAACAACCCAGCATTTTTTAGAGTTTACATGTACAAGTATGTGGTTACAAAGGAGTGGTTACATTTACATATTTCAATTAATATTTCCAATTAAAATTTAATTGAATAATCTGTGTGTATTTTAATTGAATATTTGATTCATTTTTAAAGTGTATTCTTTAGATGCTATTATATTAAATAATATTTAGAATTTTATTTTTTTATATTTTATAATTGTATTTAAATTTTTGTTTAAGTTTGAGTAATTTTGTTGTGCTTTTGCCATGTTATTTATTTATTTTTTTTGAACAGTTCTATTTAGCTTTTGATTTATTTTTATTTCAGTTTTAGTCATCATAGTTAACTAATTGTATTTCAGTCAGTTGTCATTTCTAATTTTTGTTAACATTTTTTTAAGTTTAAGGTTTTCATCTAGTATTTAATACAATTTCAATTTACATTTTTACATCAGGTACAAACAAGGTGAGTGGGAACTGCTGTGTGCAATGATCAGTGAGTTCAGACAAAGGATTATGGGAAATGCAGTTCATGATAAGGGGGTGATGGTATGGGGAAGAGGACTCTAGTGGACACCCAGGGAACACCAACCTGACACATATAACACATAGACATGTAACTGTACCTTATATGTATGCTGTTTGATTGTTGTGTGTTTTGATTTGTGTAGTGACCTGTATATTTCTTGTCAGGTGACCTTGGGTGTTCTGAAAGGCGCCATGAAATAAAATGCATTATTATTATTATTATAAACAAAACATAACATAAATAGTTCAGGCCTGGTCCTCTCTCATCCTTCACTGTCATCGCTCCTCCTTTTATCAATTTGGAGCTCCTCCGTGAGACACTCGACGCCGATGTGGCGCGCAGGTGAAACTCATTAGCAATCGTGGAACTGTCCTGTCCTGTCCTGCTTACCAGACATTCCTCGTTAGTTGGGGTAGCAGCTGAGTCTATGCTGACTCTGTGCTCTCAGAAACATAAAGGCTGGACTCTACACGGGATAAATTCATTTTATTGCGTTTTTAAATAATTAATCACACTAAATTAGTTTTAGCTTTACAGCTCTCCTTGCAATAGGAAAAGTTCACCGCCATTTTTAGAATGAGATCGTAATCTGGCGTGTTTTTCAAACTGTTACGGTCTATGCCTGTAAGCTGTACATCATGGTGAAGCGACTTTTCTTCTTTTTTTGTCATTAGCAGATAGTTTTCCTCTGAAGTGATTGACTGTGAACTACCTTAGGTCTCTTGCTCAAGGGCACACTTGTAAATGTCATCAGTTTTCCTTGGCTGTCACTACCGCCAACCAAACCAGCAATCTTAAAAAAACAAACAAAAAAAAAACACTGAATAGATATTTCATCATGGGCCTGCGTATCAAATATCACTGTGTTTTTGTGAGGCATTTAGTAATTTTATGTATTTCAGCAGTGGAACCAGCCACATTCCCAACTGCGTTTAATTTAAGGCTCCAGTTCTTTCCATGTTGAGATGCAGATGCATAGGCCTGTAAAAAATAGGCGTGTGTGTGTGTGCATGCGTTGCATCTTTCCATTGTGAAAGTGTGTTTCCTGAAAGCCGTATCTGGATGCGAGCCAGTCTAAACGAGGCACATTAGCACACGTAATGCCATTGCGTTCGCCAGCCAAGCGCCTTATAAAATCTTCAAATTCCACTCTACACTTTGAAGTCGATTGTATTACTTTTAAAGCATGGATATTTGCAGTTGTTACCCATGTTCAGCACATCTTAACTGCATGAGGTACGTTCTCCAACACTCTTTTGAAGTTTTCTGAGGTAAGTTAACTAAAAAAACATGGCGTTTGCTAAAACAGCAGCTGTGCTGGTGAAAGAGATGTGTCCTTTTCCATGCGGCGGGATGCAAACCCGGTGCGTGTTGAGAGGTAAAGGACAGATAAATTGATGGTAAAGTACAATCACTCTGTCAGAAGCA